ATGACATTTCCTATCTTCTTCAAAAACCTGTAACTCTTGTTCTCACGCACATGGGTGTACAAGCCCGAGGCGGCATAAGTATACTTCTCTTTATTCTGATTCTTTTCCTTTTCACCAAAATAAGTGATTCGCACTTGGTTGAAATCTTGTTCGAACCCGCAAATCCTGATGTTGCAGATGCTGTGTTGCACTGAGTATCTTCTGCTCCATCTCTGGTTATTATTATTTGTAATCTGTGTTAGACTCTGTGGTATATAAATGTCTATATTCCTCCTGTTAGTTGCAAGTTTTGCAGCTTCATCTCCAACGTTATTTCCCGATATTCATGAACGACTTCGTAACCAGTTGATATATATTCGACCTGGGTATTAACCATTCATCTGGGTAATAAGGTCTCCTGGGTATTTTGGGTAACGAACTAAACACGATAAATTAAATGAACAAATCCACAAGGGACGTGACGAGGATTCGAACCTGCGTCCGGGAGCCTCCCAGACACTGCCTTAATCGACTGAGCTATCGTTCGAATCCTCGTCACGGCACTTGTGGATTTGTTCATTTGATGCATCACGCTAGTGGGATCTCTGTGTGTAACGAGAAATTAAACATTTATGTATAGGCATCCTGGAGGTAGCGGTGCCTGACACTGTCTACCATCAGTAGCTCTTATAACTATCGAGCGTAGTCATGACGATACCTTGAGGTTACCTTGAGGTGCTTCCGGGGCTTAGCGTCCCCGCGGCCCGGTCGTCGACCAGGCCTCCTGGTTGCCGGACTGATCAACCAGGCTGTTGGACGCGGCTGCTCGCAGCCTGACGTACGAGTCACAGCCTGGTTGATCAGGTATCCTTTGGAGATACTTCCACCGACGATATTAATCCCCGGAGTCCAGCAGTGATTGTACGGTGGCTTGAGTATGTATATATACCGTACTGTGACATACCGATACTGACTCATATATAGTGTTGATGCTGGAGATTGATTAGTGATGATGGGAGTAGTCCCGTGATGTTCCCTGAGTGATGTACTTGGCAAAACTGACGTCAGGAATCAGTGATGCAGCACAGACGTCACTCAAGAGGCAACATTAAACTAAAGGGTGATTTTGCATGTGATTTGTTTTCTATACCTGGTCGGTGGATGTTATTCTAATGCTCAGTAGATCCACCAGTTGTGTAGAGTCTAGAGCACTCGCTCCGAGAGAGAGAGAGAGAGAGAGAGAGAGAGAGAGAGAGAGAGAGAGAGAGAGAGAGAGAGAGAGAGAGAGAGAGAGAGAGAGAGAGAGAGAGAGAGAGAGAGAGATATGCAGAGTAGTAAGGAGTGCACTATAAGGAAAGTCCTACAAACAATGCACCTTGAGTACTGTGCACTGTGAAGATGAGAGCTCACACCTGCAGCACACAATGCGTGTTAGGTGTCAGTGCCACAGTCGACTGTAACAACTATAACCCCCCCCCCCCAAACAATAATAGAGACAAATCTAACATTTGGTGAATGTGTTTGGAGCACGTACAGGCGATAAGTCACAATAACGTAGCTAAAGTATGAAGACCAGACCACACACTAGAAGGTGAAGGGACGACGACGTTTTGGTCCGTCCTGGACCATTCTCAAGTTGAGAATGGTCCAGGACGGACCGAAACGTCGTCGTCCCTTCACCTTCTAGTGTGTGGTCTGGTCTTCTTTGGAGCACGTCTATCAATCTCCCCCTAACAAACACATCACCTAATGACTTGTTCCATACGAGACAAGGACGTATTAAGACGGACACTCAGGAGTGCGGCGAGAATAATATAAAAATGAACTCCTTGAGAGGAGCGCGATCCTGGCCATTCCTCGATCTTAAACTTTCTCTCTGGGAGGTTTATCGTCCTTGTGATGGCCCACACGTGACGCCCGCCGGCAGCAGCATGTGGTGTAACACCACCATCACAACGACCTCCCCCGACGAGGCTCTTGTCGTGCTCGAGCGGAAATTATGGGGTAATAGGAATCCGCGATCTTAAAGTCAGGCGTAAAAGAAGGAAACGCTTGATTCTCTTAACTACCCTATTGCTCAGGCCTTGTCAGGTGATCAGATCTTGTCAGGTGATCAGTTGTGACCTGAGATCCTAATGCCAAGGTTTTAATGTCTTAATCTTAATGTCTGGATCTAAATGACATCACTAGACGCAGAGAAACTGTTGTCCACAGCAGACGGAGAACAAAGACTGCTAACACCAAACGCGAGGTACCAGATGATACCATACCTGGCCAACAAGGTACCAGATGATACCATACCTGGCCAACAAGGTACCAGATTCTAACACTGGATGCAAGACAAAGGCTGTCATCCCTAGACGCAGGACAAGGCCAGCCATCAATGGACACAAAACAAGGCCAGCCATCAATGGACGCAGTAAATATAAAATAGTTTACGCAAGTCCCGTCTTGCTAATCTTCAGAACAATATGTTTCAGTCCATAATTATAATTCATGTTCAGAATAAAACACTTTAGTCTCGTTCAGTCTAGCAACATTGGTAATTATTTATTGCTCTCAACTATCGTCAATTTTCCACCGCTTGTTCCGGGGCCTAAATGCTCTCATTCTCCTATATTGAAACCATTTATAGTTACGAGTAAATTTTATGTGTTCTGTAGAAGAGGTTTCAATGTTCGTCTCATTCCCACAGTACGTCTATTTTTATTTTTTTTTTATTTATATAGCAGATTATCGATCAATATATTTTATTTATCAGAGTTCCAACTATCCACGTTGATTTTTATAATGTTATAGCTCTTCTAGTATGTCAATAATTTAGCTATCCTTGTTTATCAGTCATTTCGCTATCCTTCTATAACAGTCATTTGGTTATCCTTGTCTAACAGTCATTTGGCTATCCTTGTTTATCAGTCATTTCGCTATCCTTCTATAACAGTCATTTGGCTATCCTTGTCTATCAGTCATTTGGCTATCCTTGTCTAACAGTCATTTGGCTATCCTTGTATAACAGTCATTTGGTTATCCTTGTCTATCAGTCATTTGGCTATCTTTGTCTATCAGTCATTTGGCTATCCTTGTCTATCAGTCATTTGGCTATCCTTGTCTATCAGTCATTTGGCTATCCTTGTCTATCAGTCATTTGGCTATCCTTGTATAACAGTCATTTGGCTATCCTTGTCTAACAGTCATTTGGCTATCCTTGTATAACAGTCATTTGGCTATCCTTGTATAACAGTCATTTGGCTATCCTTGTCTATCAGTCATTTGGCTATCCTTGTCTAACAGTCATTTGGCTATCCTTGTATAACAGTCATTTGGCTATCCTTGTATAACAGTCATTTGGCTATCCTTGTATAACAGTCATTTGGCTATCCTTGTCTATCAGTCATTTGGCTATCCTTGTATAACAGTCATTTGGCTATCCTTGTATAACAGTCATTTGGCTATCCTTGTATAACAGTCATTTGGCTATCCTTGTCTATCAGTCATTTGGCTATCCTTGTATAACAGTCATTTGGCTATCCTTGTCTATCAGTCATTTGGCTATCCTTGTATAACAGTCATTTGGCTATCCTTGTCTATCAGTCATTTGGCTATCCTTGTATAACAGTCATTTGGCTATCCTTGTCTATCAGTCATTTGGCTATCCTTGTATAACAGTCATTTGGCTATCCTTGTCTATCAGTCATTTGGCTATCCTTGTATAACAGTCATTTGGCTATCCTTGTCTATCAGTCATTTGGCTATCCTTGTATAACAGTCATTTGGCTATCCTTGTCTATCAGTCATTTGGCTATCCTTGTATAACAGTCATTTGGCTATCCTTGTCTATCAGTCATTTGGCTATCCTTGTATAACAGTCATTTGGCTATCCTTGTCTATCAGTCATTTGGCTATCCTTGTATAACAGTCATTTGGCTATCCTTGTCTATCAGTCATTTGGCTATCCTTGTATAACAGTCATTTGGCTATCCTTGTCTATCAGTCATTTGGCTATCCTTGTATAACAGTCATTTGGCTATCCTTGTCTATCAGTCATTTGGCTATCCTTGTATAACAGTCATTTGGCTATCCTTGTCTATCAGTCATTTGGCTATCCTTGTCTATCAGTCATTTGGCTATCCTTGTATAACACTTGGTCAGACAGCTGTCAGTGGTTTCTCACTGAACACTAATATTATCTTCTCCTACCACCCCCATTCTTTTGTATGTACAAATATATATTTACTTTATTTGAACTTGTTACAAAAAAGGAGTTACATATGGGTTACAAAGATGGTTATCATAGGTTGTCGAGTTCCTCCAGCTCCTCAGATGGCGGGCAGGAACCCTGGATGCAGTGCGCATTTCCCCTCTGTATCGCCACACTATCCTTGTATAACAGTCATTTGGCTATCCTTGTCTATCAGTCATTTGGCTATCCTTGTATAACAGTCACTTGGCTATCCTTGTCTATGCAGTAAGCCAAACAAAAGCTTCAAAATTATAGACAAACTATTTTACGTCAACGAAGGGAAATATGTATTTTTTATTGATTAATCTATAGTTTAACACCAGGAGAAGACGCGACCAATCAGAAGACGTGACTGAAGGTGTCAAACGCTTATCTGCGAGTCCTTAACTGTTTCCTCGTTTGGATCCAACAGCCTGTTGCTGCTGGAAATATTGTATGATCTTGATGACCTGTGGAAGGCGTCAACGTGTGACAGGTGTCAACGTTTGACAGGTGTCAAGTATACTTTACATTATATGCCAAAAAAAAGCGAAAACGCAAATAAATGAGAAACCATTTTGATAAGAAAAAGTAATCGTGTTTTCTATTGACTTCACGTCGTAAATTAAGTCAATTGAACAGGTCGTTCTTAAACGAAAGGTGGCAAGTGTCAAGTGGTCCTTATAGTCAGACAGCTGTCAATGTTAAGTGTGTTTAGTGGTGATTATAATTTGACAGCTGTCAAGGGAAGGGGGTGCATAACCAAGTTGGCTTACCAATCTCACCTGTCTAAGAGCCTCACCTTGTATAGCAGCGACGGAAAAAAAGTTCTGTGATCTTCACTACTGTCAAATATTTCCAGTGCTTTCCCGAATGCGTGATTTTTTTTTACGTATTAATTATCATTCAAAATACCCCACAGTCATTTAATTGATGTTGTGCAGTTCTATGACATTTATCCAATTAACACAAACTTTGTAAATGTTCAAGAATTGTTTTGATCGCTGTAAAACGTTCACTTGGTCAGCGTTCATAGCGCGTGGTACTGCGTGAAGGGCTGGCGACGGTCGCTCAAGTACAGTGGGCGCGCTCAGCACAGCCGGCCTGACGTCGCTGGCTGCCGGACGAGGTCTGGCCCGCCCTGTGCCTTCTGGGGCTGCCAGCCGCCGCCACCAACTGCTGCTGCTGCTGCTGCTGCTCCTGCTGCTGTTGGTGCTGCTGCTGCTCCTCCTCCTGATACTACTGCTCCTGCTGCTGGTGCTGATGTTGCTGCTGCTGTTGCTGCTGCTCCTCCTGATGCTACTGCTCCTGCTGCTGCTGCTCCTGCTGCTGCTGCTGTTTCTGGTACTGCTACCGTTGCTCCTGTTACCTGTACTGTTACTGCTTCTGGCGTTGCTGCTGGTACTGGTGGTGCTCCCTACTGCTATTGCTGCTCCAGCTGCTACTGCCTCTACGACAACCACAGACCAGCCAATTGTAGACACTGGCAGCCACTGCTGCTGAGTTCCAGTGTCTGGGGCGGCTGGAGAGATGTAGAGGAAGAGGTGAAGGAACGATGGAAAATAATCAACTTAATGGAGAATAGAATATAAACATAAAATAATAAAAATCACTAAAAACAATGAGAAGAATTGATAACAAAAGAAGTTAAATTGACATTTAAAATAGGAAAATACTTTATAGATGAGAACCGAACTGTTTCAAGTATAAAAATGATTTCTTACAACGGTATAAAGTCTAAGGCTGCCCTGCGCTAAAGCCTAAGGCTGCCCAGCGCTAAAGTCTAAAGCTGCCCTGCGCTAAAGTCTAAGGCTGCCCTGCGCTGTAGTCATCCAGTACGCAGCACCGGCGTGGGACCCGCACACCTCGCGAAGCGCAGAATGGTGCTTGGAAAATTACAGATTATAAGACTAATGCGCCAATTAAGAGGATTAACCTATGAGGATAGTTCAAGAGAACTCGATCTTACAACTCAAGAGTAAAGAGAAAGGCAGAGTAGACATGATTACTATCTACTAAATACTGAAAGACATGCCCATCATATACTAGATACAGAAGGATACATAATCACTGAGAACTAAATATTGAGAGGACATAGCCACTACGCACTAAATACTGTGTGTATTTATTGTGAAATATACATATATATATATATATATATATATATATATATATATATATATATATATATATATATATATATATATATATATATATATATATATATATATATATATATATATATATTACATTACTCTAACAAGTTTGTGAGGGTACCACCTCTAGTGCCAATGTGGGGACCCATAGCCTCGGAGAAGAAAAACATAAAAAGTATTCAGAGGAGACCTTGTGGTTTCTCACTGAACACTAATATTATCTTCTCCTACCAACCCATTCTTTTGTATGTACACATATATATTTACTTTATTTGAACTTGTTACAAAAAAGGAGTTACATATGGGTTACAAAGATGGTTATCATAGGTTGTCGAGTTCCTCCAGCTCCTCAGATGGCGGGCAGGAACCCTGGATGCAGTGCGCATTTCCCTCTGTATCGCCACACTGAGGCGCTGGAAAAGAAAGCTTGCAGCTCTTGGGTCCCTTGTTGTTTCAATGAGCCTAGAACCCAGTTCCTTCAAAAAACTGGTATATATATATATATATATATATATATATATATATATATATATATATATATAATATATATATATATATATATATATATATATATATATATATATATATATATATATATATATATATATATAAAGTACGAAACCCACAATAATAGTTGAGGTATTTCTACGAACTTGTTTGAGTGTTTTCAGCATTCCGGCCAGCGAGAATATAATTACAAATGCTCCCTCCTGCAGAAGCAGTCTGAAACTTGCAGGAAACCGTCAACCTCGAAGTGGATGCGATTTCCTGGGTCTCCTCGCGAGCTGCTCAAACTTTTGTGCTTAATGTCGCTCCCTATTTTTCTTGAGCGCTTCTCTTATGCTCTAAATGAGCTCCCCCTCTGAGCTGTGAGTTACCGCCCTCGTTATGAAGAGCAAAAGTTTGCAGCTTGCTTGGTAATCCTGTGATTCTGTAGAAGGTGTTTCGTTAGCATAATTGTGAATCAATATTCATTGATGACTACGGTGTGCTGGGAGTGTGGACTGCAGGTAATGTAAAAAAAAAAGAGTCTAGTGAACCGGAATTAACAACCTGAAATTGTTCAAATGAACAAATTCACAATTCCACAATGAAATTGTTCATTGTGGTGACGAAGAGGAAGCTCCGTCTCCCTCAGCCTGCTCGACTTGCTTAAGTAAAAAAAGTCGACATTTAAACTGTTAGAAGTGGATTATATTTTGTGTTATTTTTTAATTTAAACTTTTGAATATATCTAATTCCGTCAGAAGTGCTGAAATTGATGTTTTTTTGTCCATTATTATTATTTTAATAACTAATAGTAGCAACAGTAGCAGCTACAGATGTAGTAACACACAGAAATCACATTAACGTGACATATCAAAGAACAAATCCACAAGGGCCTTGATAAGGGTTCGAACCTATGTATTGGATGTTCCCAGGCACGTTCTAGTCAGCTGTATCACGACATGGTAAAAAAATTGGAACCTGGAGCGCTACTGCCCCTCACGAGGATCCCGTGGCTTCCACTGAAGCTTAAACGACGGTTTCACACAATTCCCCCCATGCACTCGAGCTCTCTCAACTCGGGTTGACACAGCCCGAGTGCACGAGGGAATTGTAACGACGACCGACTGTAGTTCACTGATAAGGATCGCAATAAGCAACTAGAAATCCCACGACGTAAAACCTGAATGAGTAAATCAGCACCAATTACTTCTCTGACATCATATGTATGTCAGCCGTGTCATCCATCGGCTCCAGTGTGATGTATTCAGTAAGTGAGAGAAATATTCAGACCCCAGGAATTCGTTGACTAACTTTCTTCCCCGCCGCTGAACTCCGAATGAGTTGTAACTTGCTTGCTTCTTAAATAAGTTCAACATATTCAAGTGCAGTTCTCGACGGACCCAGAGGCCCCGGCGTCCCTGATGGACTTTGAGAACAAGACGGAAGTTTCGAGTCAAGACCAAATAATATTTGAGCACAATTATCTCAAAACTTGTATAGACTATAAGGTAAAGTGCGAGACGCACTCACAAAGTGTTCAAGCACCAAAGTGACATTCAGACAGGCCAACAAGCACTTTAAACGGGCCAAGATAGAGTCATACAAGCAATGTGAAGTGCAAAAAAGCAGAGACAGTCACTCAGGCAAAGAGACAGGCAAATAGGTAGTCAAACAAGTTAAGAAACAAATAGGTAAATAAAAAGTCAGTCAAACAAGATTCAAGCCAAACAACACACACACACACCATCGTCTGACCTTCGACCTGTCTTAAAAACTGTCAATTATCAAAGTCTCTTCCTCTGAAGCATAAAAACCTAAACATCAAGGCAGAATAACCACAAACAAACACAAACAACGACTAACATACTCCTCTTTCCTAGCCCGGTGTCGCCCAAGAAACAAACATCCTACATATGAAAATGTCCCGCATCATTTTTTTGCAATATGCACGAGACAAGAAATGGGATCCCCAAAAAGAATATATTTGTTTGACTTACTGTGTCTAGTTTCCCAGACTCGAGGAGTTAAAAATTCCTCCCTCGAGGAGAGACAAAACATGTTGACCAGAAAAAGAAGCAACAGAGGTGCAAAGAAGCACGAAATATATATATATATATAACATTTGAAGAAAAAAAAAGAGTAAGATTTTTTTGGATGGGGGGTGTGAGGGGGGGGGGTGGAGGGATGAATAGGTGGGAAGCCGTAGCTGGGTCTGGGTGAACATATACCTGTCAAGAACAGGAGAAAGAAAGAATATGTTGTCAGGTCCAGGTCTCCACCACTACCCAAACAATAACATAGTGAGAGAGGCGCTCGGGGCCTGAACGTGGTCACGCCTCCACAGGTAAGGGAAGATGGCCTTCTTTCTCACAGTGTTATTTAACTCAAACTCTCTAAGAAAATGAAATACTCTTCAAATATCTTACTCCGTTCGTGCCTTCGGGTTTCGGGGATATTTACGTACTTTGAGACATAAGACATAATGTAAACATTAGGTATGGATAAACAGTAACATGGAAAATGTCCCCAACTCGGCCCTGTAGCTCGTAAGGCAGCCCTGGTTGCAGCGATTGTTTAAAGTTAAACAACACAAAATTGTACTAAAGCGTCAAATATCCCCACAAAGTTTACACAGCATGAAAAGGCACAGTAGAGCCCTCGCCTGGGAGGGGAAGGATACGTCACTTAGATCAATACGAACTGAAACACAGATATAGGTTAGCCAAGGACCGCCCCGTCCCCAGCTATACTGAGAATATCGATCACTTCACAAAATCTTTAATCCTAGATAATACACAAGAGGCGAAGCAGCACACGAACCATTACGTCGATATAGAGAAGAGAGTCGAAGGCTTAACCATTGTATGCCCAGCTGGAAGGTGTTCCAGACCCCCCTACAGTGTCAACACCACTTTATCTCACTACCTCACATCCAACAAGATGGCGGCTTTTGGGTCTGTTGAGACCCCTCATCGCGTTCCAATACTCGCCACTGCTCCTCTGAATATTGTATTAATCCGTCCTGTAACATCTCTGGGATTATAATCTGTAGCTGATAATTTGCACACACATTTATCACATCATTTCCTCATCATTGGATGCGTCTTTTCAGAGCTGTTGTTATAGCAGTTTCATATGCAGGCGATGAGTCACAATAACGCGGCTAAAGTACCACGAGCAACAGAGCAGAGCAACAATCGACTTGAGAATGGTCCAGGACGGACCGAAACGTCGTCGTCCCTTCACCTTCTAGTGTGTAGTCTGGTCAACAGACTACACACTAGATTCTAATTTACGTTTGTAAACACTGTCTTGGTAACTGGTATTCTCGAGATCCTTAGACTATGCCGCCGCGCGCAGTTCCTCACCTCAGGCGGGAACAGACGGCCGTGGATCAAAATAAAGCTGGAAATTGTTAAAGGTGGCAAATTAAAAACGCGTCACCACAGCCTTACAGAGCAACTCGCCCTCTCAACCAACGG